GCACCGTGCAGTACCCCATCCGCCTGCCCCGCAAGCCCTGCGGTGGGGTGCACCTCGCCCCGGGCATTCGCAGCTACGGCCCACGCCATCGGCACCTGCACCGCTTTGATGCCTTCTGCTTCTCCTCCGCGCTCAGAGGTGGGTGCTGGGCCAGGGGCTGGGGGGTGGGATCCTGGGGAAGATGCCGTGCCCCATCGGTGGCACCCTGTGCCCTCCGTCCCCCTTGGGGCACAGGGCTCAGCCTGGGTGGGGAAGCTCCGGGCAGGGATGCTCCAGATGATGCTCAGCACTGATGCTCCTATCTTCCTCCTAGGAGAAGTTTTCTACCTGGACCACCCGGCTGGGATGACGCTGGAGGAGGGACCGGCATCCCCTGGCTGTGCTTCTGCCAAGCTGCCCTGCCCAAGGGTTAGATCTGGGGGTCTCGGAGCCAGGGCTCTGTGTGCCCACGGGAGCTGGCATGGAGGGCATCACCCAAGTCTAGGGATGATGCCCCCTCAGATGAGTGCAACTGGGCACTCCCAAAGCTTTTGCCCTGGTTGCTGTGCCTCTTCTTTGCCCCCACAGCACCAAGCGGACCTTGAAGAGGCTGAACCCTGTGGCCCGCTGCCTCCCCATCCCCCCAGAGCAGGCAGGCGCTGCCTGCACACCCCGGGCATGGACCACCACCTGCCACAGCCCATCCGTCCCGAGCAGTTCATGCCCGCGATGCTCCTGCTACTTGCGTGCTCAGCACCACCAGTGCCCAGGGACTGCGGCCAGTCCCCCCTGTGGAACGTGGGACAAGGGATGGCTCTTCTCCCTGGGCACTGTGTCTTCATCGGGGCTTTGGCACTGGGCATCACGGGGTCCCACCAGCCCCAACAGGGCACCCTGCTCCCTGCTGCTCACCCCTCCAAGCTGGGGGCAACGCTGGCAGCTGGCACATCACAGAAGAGGTGTGCGGGCAGCATGTGGGCAGCGGGTGAGCGCCCGGTGAGACTGTTGCCTGGTCATGGTGGGCAGGGGGGGGGCCGGGGGAAACCAAACCAG